CCGGGATTCATCCGTGAAGAGCACACTTCTCCAGCCTGCCAGTGGCCATCGAAGGTGAACATTTGCCCACTGATGTTGGTTACGACGCCAAACTGCAGTCAGGTCAAGACCTTGGTGAGGCCGACGTGCATGCAGATGAGCTTCCCTGAGATGGTTTCTGACAGTTTGTGCAGAAATTCTTCGGTTGTGCAAACCCACAGTTTTATCAGCTGTCTGGGTGGCTGGTCTCAGACGATCCCGCAGGTGAAGAAGCCAGATGTGGAGGTCCTGGCCGGCATGGTTGCACGTGAGGCCGGTTGGACGTACTGCCAAATTCTCTAAAACGACGTTGAGGCGGCTTATGATAGAGAAATTAACATTCAATTCTCTGGCAACAGCTCTGGTGGACATTCCTGCAGTCACAACCCTGGCATTGCAAGCGCCATGCTCTACCAACTGAGCTACACGGGACCAACAAATAGGGCACCGACAGCTATCAGTGTAGCTACCCAACATGCTAACCATATCTAGCTAACTAGCTATTTTTTGCTTTAATTTACTATTCATTAAATCACATTTCAAAATGATTTCCTTGCAATGCATATTTTTTCGGTTCTCAATACTTTTCGGTGTATGTTTTGCTTGCAATATCATTATTTTTGTTCGTAATACTAAAGTTGTTCTCGACTTCTGAAGTTTTGCTTAATATTAATAGCACGAAAGTAACTCCATATACTGTGCTAGTTTACATGTTTGCCAATGGTGGTGTGTCGTGCCCCCCAGTGGCCCAGAGTAAGAACACTGATGAGTCACGCAGCAGTGCAATAGCCGTACAATCCTGCAATAGCTGTGCAATCCTGCAATAGCTTATTAGCTGCAGTCACTGTGCAGCGCTTTCTGCTTAGTCATGTTAGATCTGCTATTATTATCTAGTGTGTGAGAATGTGTCTGTGTGAGAGCCTAAGAGTAAGTCGGTGTGTATGTATCAATGTGTGTGAGATTACCTTAACCTATTCAATGTATAATTTACTTTAGTAAACTTGTTCTCTGAGCTTAATGAACACATCTGAATATATTTTTTAAATCATTTGTCTACAATGTGAATTTTAAATATTGTACTATATTTAGTCTTCGGATACTGTTTTCTACACATTTCATGAATCAAGTCCTGTGAATAAATGATCAGATCTTAATAAATGTTGGTATATACTGTAGATTGTCCGGACCAATATATACCATGAGTACACCAAACATTAGAAACACCTCCCCCCAGGGATGTCAAAAGCGTTCCACAGGGATGCTGGCCCATGTTGACTCAAATGCTTCCCACAGTTGTGTCAAGTTGGCTGGATGTACTTTGGGTGGTGGACCATTCTTGATACACAAGGGAAACTGTTGAGCGTGAAAAACCCAGCAGCGTTACAGTTATTGACACAAACCGGTGCCCCTGGAACCTACTACCATACCCCGTTCAAAGGCACTTACATTTTTTGTCTTGCCCAATCACGCTCTTAAATGGCACACATACACAATCCATGTCTCAAGACTTAAAAATCCTTCTTTCACCGGTCTCCTACCCTTCATCTACACTGATTGAAGTGGATTTAACAAGTGACATCAATAAGGGATCATAGACTGACCAGGTGAAAGCTATGTCATTGAAAGAGCAGGTGTTGTTAATGTTTTGTATACTAAGTGTATATATTAAAACAATATCTAAATAAAATCCACACGCACAACCCCCTAGTTCACATGCAGTATAAGCAAATCCAATGCAAGTCAATGGAGAATGGAGAGTCATTTTACAGCATTTTCCATCTTTCTCAGATCTTAAACATGTTCACATCTTAATTGTTGGTATATAGTTTGCCCGGACCAATATCAATAAAAAACGATATCTAAATAAATCCACACTCTCTCACACACGCACACCCCTAGAGTCATTTTATCCTTTTTTTTTATAGCTTTCTCTGATCTTAAGCCATCACACAGTTTTGTTTACTGTATATACCACTTCTGTAAACAAACAGTTGACATCACAAGATTAAAAAATACAGTTGTTCGACCTTTGAGACAAAAAACAAACAAGCCAAGGAGCAACTTTTTGAACGCATTTATATTTTAAAACCCACTTTTCTTTTCATTTAAGGCTTCAGCGTCACTACACAGATGCATTTGTGACACTCAGCAATTTACATTGAACGCGTTTACAATAAGAGATCAACTCCCTTTACAGAACAGGATGGACAGAAGGAGGGTTGGTCAGTTGGAGCTCTATGGGGCGGCTTTGGGGTCAAGGTGGGACAGTGTCCATAGATTTTCTCAAAGCTTCTAGTCAACGCTCACCAAGTCTCAGTCTCGCACACATTTCCTGGGTAACAGACTACAGAGCCTATGTCCCAAATGGCACCCTATTCCTGATCTACTGCACTAGTTATGACCAGGGCCCATAGTAGTGCACTAAATAGGGAGCCATTTGGGACTCAGCCATAGCGTGGCTGAAGCCAAGGTCAAAGAAAGGAACTGGAACATGGTTTTTAGAACAGGATTCAGCTCTTCAGTCATGCTATTGGTGGGGTTTGGAGTGGGACTGTAGCAGTGTTTGAGAAAACGTCAAACTTCATTTAATCTCCGTAGTCTATGCAACTTAATTTGGATCATTTCTTTCACTCAAACAACTAAATAAATCTGAGCTCTTCTAGTGGAACACAAATCTTATCGGATAACATACAATTAACCCAACAGAGAAAGGGAACAGTCAGCTCAGCTGCCCCATAATTTGACTATCCCAGACCCCCGCTCATTCTGCTAAGGCCTTGCCGCTTCGTACTTTGGGGTTAGGGAGATATGCACACTGTACTGTAATTACCATTTGGAGCCTTGAACTTAAAGCGGTCGCTCAAATGTAGCCCGATATTGCTTTAAATTAGCCAGTCAGGAGTGGTGTTATTGTATAAGCCTACCCTGTAACAAAGGCCTTGATTACAGAGGCCATTGTAGTTCCTCTGGGGGACGGGGGTTACCCCTGGCAACATGAAGAGGCCAGGGGTAGCACAATGGCTAAACCGGCCAATGGGGTCATTCGATGGACGATGAGTGGTGTCAGGTAATTGGGCCTCCTACACAAACCTGGAGGGAATGTGAGACAGAGGAGAGAATAACCCAGTCCAGCTGGGTGCGGAGTCCCGTTTAATGTCGGGGGAGAGGGATATGCACTTAGCGGAGGAGTCGCTATTATACAGTAGCTTCTCTGGTTTCATCACCCTCTCTATACAGTACGACTAAGGGGATATTTTCAGGGAAGAGTAGATATGTGTAATGGCTAGAAGGCCCAAAGGTCCCAAACCCCCCACACATTTAAAGTGGTTCAGTTAAGAAAAACACAATGGTAAACAAATTGAAAATACAATGCCAGATCACTCATTTGCCTTTAATCAAATTATTCCACAACAGTTGGGTGGGGCTCACATTCCAGAAGGATCCCTAACCCACAGCACCTAGGCCGCAAAACTATTGCCACTCCACAAACGGCGACTTCTATGCTCCGTCCGTAAGTTGATTCGACAGCTTGCTTGGTCAGTTATTATAAAAATGCCTTAATATGGCCAGTGAGTGCGTCATGTGTATATGCAGTAAGTCAGGGGGGAGAGGAGTCAGTGCAGTTAATTTAGGCTGGGATTGGTATGTCACAATAGCACCATACGTTCCTAATAAAAGAGACTGATTACCCTGAGATAACGCATGAAAAAAGACCTGAACATTAACCAGAACTCCAACCTCAGGAAGGTAGACTTGATATAGGGAGGAACAGGGCGATCAGTTGAAAAACTACCCCACATACATCACTAAATCAATGTGCTTGGCAATGGGAAGAAAGTCTTAAGACATACATTAGGGCAGGGATTAAGCACATTGCAGTCCTCCTCGCCCCCCACACAATGGTGGCTTTACTTTCCAGCTCAAGGAGGTCACAGTACAGTGGTCCTGACCCCATCTATCAAAAGCCCCACAAAGCCTTTCATTGACCCTGTGACCACTCTCTGCCCTGCGGTGCAAGCCTCTGATTGGCCCAAACACTGGTACAGTCGACCTCCATCACGAGAAGCCTGTCGCCTACGCCACAAAGGTGAAGTGTGTTGAATTGAGAGAGAAAAAATAAGTCAACTGAATAAATAGCAAAGCCAGCTCGAAGTATTTAAAGCCACTGTGGACCTACAGTATATGGAGAGTGATTGAGCTCACTTGATCCCATCTTGAATGAGATCCAGACTAGAAAGGTATAGAGGTCTAGTCCTGTGTCTTTTATACAGTACACATCCACTGTTTCAGTCTTTGCCATTGACACTGACCCTGGATCAGAACCTGAGCTACCAAGACTGATTCAGAAGCTCCGTCAGTGTCCTTTTAGACAGATCCAAGTACAGGCGAAAAGGAAGCACCTCTACTTTGACCCTGTGCTCGTTCTTTATACAAAAATAAGACAGAAAAGATGCCAGTGCTATTTCGTCGACTAATAATAATAAAAAAAAATACAATAAAGATTTCCGCATATCACGCTAATATATACATATGTGTGGGTTTTTATTGGTTCCAGCTATACAGGTGATGATAAGACTAAGTAAGCAAGGCATTCTTTTTCCCTAAACAACATAAACATAAGACTTTTATCATCTATGTGCTCAAAAGCTTTTATATAGCCAACACGTATCCTTGTCCAGTATGTATAAAAATCTTAAATTAGAGCGATAAAGAGGCCACATTCACCTATGAGTCCTTTTCAGGAATATTATAACAATCCGTTTAAAACACAGTGCAGCTGGACATTTGATTGGAGAGAGGGAAACGTTTTACAGGAGACGAAACGTCCAAAAAGGCAACATCCTTTATTTTATCAGGAGAAACGTAACCCCCCCCCCCCCCCCCAAAAAAATAAAAAATATAATAACAATCAAAAACGGGGCTAAAAGAAAAGCAAGAACCGTAAAACAAAACGATGACAACCTACACTGGTAGGGAGGGGCTCATTTGAGATGGCTGGGTGGGGGGATAAAGGGGGCAGAGCGGTCGTTGGTCAGGGTCCGACGCAGTTTTACTCCCCGGATCATCGTGACCATGTGACCTCCGCCACCCGAGGGCTCATCTGCCTCCTGGGCGTCTGGGGCGTCAGGGGGCTGCTGGGGGGGAGGGCAGTGCCCGCTTTCCATCAGCTGGTTGGCAGTGCCATACGCGTTGTGCTGTTGTGGGAGATGAGACTGCTGCAGAAACTGTTGCTGCTTTTGATATTGGAGCTTCTGCTGTTGCGGTTGTTGGTACTGTTGTTGCTGTTGTGTCTGCTGGTAAAGCTGCTGTTGCATCTGCTGCTGTTGTTCTAACTGTTGTTGCTGCTGTAGCTGTTGTTGCTGGAACTGTTGCTGTAGTTGAAACTGCTGTTGTTGCTGGAACTGTTGCTGTAGTTGAAACTGCTGTTGTGTCTGGGCTGCTGGTTGCAACTGTTGTGTCTGGGCTGCTTGTTGTGTCTGGGCTGCTGGTTGCAACTGTTGTGTCTGGGCTGCTTGTTGTGTCTGGGCTGCTGGTTGCAACTGTTGTGTCTGGGCTGCTGGTTGCAACTGTTGTGTCTGGGGCGGCTGGAACTGCTGCTGCTGGTTGTACTGTAGGTGCTGCTGCTGGTACTGCTTCTGCTGCTGCTGGTGCAGGGTGAACTGCTGCTGCTTGCTCAGCTGGTACAGCTGCTCCGAGCTGCCCATGGGCACTGGCGCCTGGCCCGGGATCAGTGAGTAGTAGGGCGACGTGGATGATGTGTGGTGCGAGGGCATGGCACTCAGGCTCTGGGTGGAAGTGCACAGACTGTGCTTGGCGTGGACCTGCCCGTGGTCCACCGTCCTGCTCATGCCAATCCCGCCCGCCCCCACACCACTCCCTGGAGGCCCCACGTTCTCGTTGCTCCCCCCTCCACCACCGTTGCCTCCACCTACCCCTCCGCCCAAGGCTTTGAAGGGAACCTGGGGGGTGCAGATAGGGATAGGCACGCCGCCACTGAGGGTGCCGCGGCGGTAGGCGGGCTTGGATGAGGGCTTGCGGCGGATGGTGGCAGTGTGCGTCTGGCGCAGGCCAAGCGGCTCGGGCTCAGCGAGCAGGCTGACGGTCGAGGCGGGCCGCTTGCTCTGGAACATCTTGCGGTACTGCACGCCGAGGTCGCTGTTGCGCGGGATGGTGGAGGACTTGTCGAAGTCGGGCGGGCTGTGGTGCACCTCCTCGCCCCCGTGCAGGGAGATGTAGTCGTAGTCTGTTGGGTGGAGGAGGAGGGAGAGAGGGATGGATGGAACAAGAGTAAGGCTGTGGTTACTTAGAGCGGAGGAACACCACACAACACATTTCTTTCCTAACTGGAATAAAACATGGTAGGAAAGCAGAGGCTTTGCCTGGGGTGGAAAATCTGACCTGATGCATTCCATTAAAACCAAGAGCAAGAACGTTCCGTGCAACACAAAGCTTCTCTGTGCTAAAGTTGATATTTTTTGTATTGCAGACTGCATTGAATACTTGACGTATTCGGTGAGAATCAGATGGGGAAAACGTATAAGAGAACCACAGAAACTCTTAAGACTCCAGATTTGCCCCAAACATAATAACCTAATTATGCCTGCATCCCAAATGGCACTCTATTTCCAGGGTTCTGGTCAAGAGTAGTGCACTATGTAGGGAATAGGGTGCCATTTGGTACACAGCCTATGTCTCAATGCGGAATCACTGTGCAAAAAATCTGTGTTTGAGAAAAAAAAAACGACAGACTTATCTGAGGAGGAAGAAGAAATTAGGGTGTGTGTGATAAGGGAGTGTGTCAGCACGGAGCGGTGACCTGTTATCAGCTGATGATGGTAAACACGCTAACACAATTACATGGCGGTCGCACATATGCAACCAGAGACAAAGGAGTGTGTGCACGTACACCCAATCACACACATACGCACTCAATTGATCTCAGAATAACGCAAGCATCCGCTCATCCGTTTACACAAAGGTTCTCACACCCACACGCATGCACACACAACAAACATTCTGCGCTAATGCTCTCCTTTTACTAGCAAAAAGGCCATTGATGTGATGGGAATTCACACAGCACAGATGTCACACTAAATCACTGTGAATGATCTCTAATTTCACTTGTGAGGAACAGAGAGGGGAAAATCTAAACAGTAACGGACAAGCAACCTACCATAAAGAGGAGGTTCTTTCTTTACAGCTGAAAAAGAATATAGAATTGCGTTTAACTTGTATACCAAAAAAAAAGCTACTTTTCTTTGATCAAAACATGATGTTGAATGGGGGGGATGCTTCACAGAGTGACAGTCGAGCCCCATAATGCTTTGAGAGGGACAAAACTGAAGTAAAACAACATTCTCGGGTTGCAGGCTCATATGCTATGTATGGCTTTACAGCTCGGCATACAGGCTTTTGATCCGACAAACAGGTGGGGTATGTGGAGAGATGGAAAATTCAGACTTGGTTTTTAGGTAGCACTGCTGACAAAAGCAGATTATACTACCACAGGCTACTTGCACAAGCTGGTGTTGTGATAATGCTGTTGAAACAGGCACATGGATGGGACAGAAGTGGAGACGTCATTCTGGTGTGATAGTGAAATGAGACGGATGCATGCGACAGATTGCAAGACAATCACAGACAGAACAACAGACACAGACAGATAAGGCAGATACAAGCAAACAGACCCCAAAAGCTCAAATCATGACACACAGACAGACAAACAATAAGAGAACCATGCTGTATAAGATCTCTGACACAGAGACCCACTAAAGAACAGAGCTGGCTGAGCCAAAGAGACAGAGACCGACAGACGTAGCCAGACAAGCAGACAGTGCTGTGACCATGGGGGGATAGTAGGTTTGCGTCCCAAATGGCATCCTTCCCTACAGTGCCTGGTCAAAGGTATGTAGTGCACTAGGTAGCTAACATGGTGCTATTTTGGTCGCATCCCAGGAGTGGTGTGTGGCGGGGGGTTTGGTCTGTGGTGGACACTACTAACCGTGGGAGGGGATGGTGTCCTCGGAGCAGGAGGGCGTGGTGGTCTGCGTGCTGTAGCCACTGGAACAGTGGAGGGAGTCGCGACTGGTGTGGGGGGCCTCCGAGTTGAGCCCTCCGCCCAGGGTCAGGGCCAGCTTCTCCCGGGCACTCTGGGGCTATGAGAGGGATGGTGTGTGGAAGGGAGGGAGGAAGGGATAGTGAGGGAGAGGGATGGGGTGCGGAAAGAAGGGAGGAAGGGATAGTGAGGGAGGGAGTTAATGAGGGGAAGGTGGAAGGAAAGGAAGGAGAGAGAGGGGGGAGGGAGAGTTTAGGGTAAAAAAAATAAAAATGGAGATGTGTACAGTGGAAGAGAATCCTTCCTCAACCTCTTGGCCTCTGGTGCCCCCATCAGCTGAACACTAAGAATACACCCTGAAATGGCTCTCATACTATCCTGAACAGAAATATAAACGCAACAACGCAAAAGATTTTACTGAGTTACAGTTCATAGAAGGAAATCAGTCAATTGAAATAAATAAATTAGGCCCTAATTTATGGATTTCACATGACTGGGCAGGGGCGCAGCCATGGGTGGGCTAGGGAGGGCATAGGCCCACCCACTGGGGAGCCAGGCCCAGCCAATCAGCAGGATGTGGAGGTCCTGGGCTGGCGTGGTTACACGTGGTCTGCGTTTGTGAGGTCGGTTGGACGTACTGCCAAATTCTGTAAAATGACGTTGGAGGAGGCTTATGGTAGAGAAATTAACATTCAATTCTCTGGCAACAGCTCTGGTGGACATTCCTGCAGTCAGCATGCCAATTGCACTCTCCCTCAAAACTTGAGACATCTGTGGCATTGTGTTGTGTGACAAAACTGCACATTTTAGAGTGGCCTTTTATTGTCCCCAGCACAAGGTGCACCAGTGTAATGATCATGCTGTTTAATCAGCTTCTTGATATGCCATACCTGTCAGGTGGATTGATTATCTTGGCAAAGCAGAAATGCTCACTAACAGGGATGTAAAGAAATGTATGGCAAACAATTGAGAGAACTAAGCTTTTTGTGCATATGGAACATTTCTGGGATCTTTTATTTCAGCTCATGAAACATGGGACCAACACTTTACATGTTGCGCTCACATTTTTGTGTTTTCTTGGAAAACAAAATGAGGTAATAAATGTTACTGCCTATACTTAAATGCTTGTTAGAAGATAGTTATACACTGCTCAAAAAACTAAAGGGAACACTTAAACACAATATAACTCCAAGTCAATCACACTTATGTGAAATCAAACTGTCCACTTAGGAAGCAACACTGATTGACATTAAATTTCACATGCTGTTGTGCAAATGGAATAGACAATAGGTGGAAATTATAGGCAATTAGCAAGACACCCCCAATAAAGGACTGGTTTTGCAGGTGGTGACCACAGACCACTTCTCAGTTCCTATGCTTCCTGGCTGATGTTTTGGTCACTTTTGAATGCTGGCGGTGCTTTCACTCTAGTGGTAGCATGAGACGGAGTCTACAACCCACACAAGTGGCTCAGGTAGTGCAGCTCATCCAGGATGGCACATCAATGCGAGCTGTAGCAAGAAGGTTTGCTGTGTCTGTCAGCGTAGTGTCCAGAGCATGGAGGCGCTACCAGGAGACAGGCCAGTACATCAGGAGACGTGGAGGAGGCCGTAGGAGGGCAACAACCCAGCAGCAGGGCTGCTTCCTCCGCCTTTGTGCAAGGAGGAGCAGGAGCAGCACTGCCAGAGCCCTGCAAAATGACCTCCAGCAGGCCACAAATGTGCATGTGTCTGCTCAAACGGTCAGAAACAGACTCCATGAGGGTGGTATGAGGGCCCGACGTCCACAGGTGGGGGTTGTGCTTACAGCCCAACACCGTGCAGGACGTTTGGCATTTGCCAGAGAACACCAAGATTGGCAAATTCGCCACTGGCGCCCTGTGCTCTTCACAGATGAAAGCAGGTTCACACTGAGCACATGTGACAGACGTGACAGAGTCTGGAGACACCGTGGAGAACGTTCTGCTGCCTGCAACATCCTCCAGCATGACCGGTTTGGCGGTGGGTCAGTCATGGTGTGGGGTGGCATTTCTTTGGGGGGCCGCACAGCCCTCCATGTGCTCGCCAGAGGTAGCCTGACTGCCATTAGGTACCGAGATGAGATCCTCAGACCCCTTGTGAGACCATATGCTGGTGCGGTTGGCCCTGGGTTCCTCCTAATGCAAGACAATGCTAGACCTCACGTGGCTGGAGTGTGTCAGCAGTTCCTGCAAGAGGAAGGCGTTGATGCTATGGACTGGCCCGCCTGTTCCCCAGACCTGAATCCAATTGAGCACATCTGGGACATCATGTCTCGCTCCATCCACCAACACCACCACGTTGCACCACAGACTGTCCAGGAGTTGGCGGATGCTTTAGTCCAGGTCTGGGAGGAGATCCCTCAGGAGACCATCCGCCACCTCATCAGGAGCATGCCCAGGCATTGTAGGGAGGTCATACACACTACTGAGCCTCATGTTGACTTGTTTTAAGGACATTACATCAAAGTTGGATCAGCCTGTAGTGTGGTTTTCCACTTTAATTTTGAGTGTGATTTTTTTTTTCCATTGATAATTTGTGTGATTTTGTTGTCAGCACATTCAACTATGTAAAGAAAAAAGTATTTAATAAGGTTATTTCATTCTTCAGATCTAGGATGTGTTATTTTAGTGTTCCCTTTATTTTTTTGAGCAGTGTATAAGTAGTGCTACCTATTTACCCTGGAATAAGTGTTGCCATCACTTCCTTGTGGAAATATTTCTTAAGTTATCATACAATCAATTAATTATTAATGGATTACAAAAAGGTTGGTTTGTTTGACAATGATTCAGAAATTGTAGAACACACTGCACCGGTGCTTATTTGCATTAATCATTGACCACATATCAAAGTACAAACTGATAAGCATTCTGTGTGTGTGTGTTTGTGTCAGTATATGTGTGCCAGTTTGTGTGCATGTGCTACCTTTCCGGATGTGGACATGGCGCGGTCTCTCTCTCCATGCTGTGTGTAGGCGTTGTGTGGAGGGGGCATGGCCATGCCATTCTCTGTGCACGGACCGATCTGCCCCGACCACGGCCTGCTCAACTCCTGAAACAAACACCAACAATTCCACATTGTGCCACTGCCCACTGACAGATGTACCATTAGATATAATCTGTGTATAGAATGTATGATATATTCTATACATATTTTATATACAGATAGATACACCATTAAATACAGATACATTCTATAATCACTGTTGGACAATTTGATACAAACACTGTTGCACGGTATACAGAAAGTTCGGTACTTTTTCGATACTAGAACATGAAAAACGGTTAGGAATTTTGGTTCCTTTCGGTAATTCTGTGAAATGTGTCTGACAGATCAAGTCTATCAGCGCAGCCGATGTCCCCTATAGCGGGAAGCGCAGTGCACCGCACCATGCCTGCTCCATTTAGCCTGCACTGAGAGTCTGGGCTGCATCATGTTAGCTCCCCACTCATGCTGCACAGAAGTTAACACACATGAATAATGTGATCACAGCATGTAGAAATGTTGAAACTGTTAATTACTGTTCATACAGGCTAGAACGCTTTACAATCTAAGAAGATAACGGTAGCTTCCAGCTTTGGCTAATGCTAACTTTCCTTGCTAGCTTACAGCTGAAGCCAACATCAATTCACTAACCCTAGTACTTTGTTTGTGATATGCAAACCATAACACAAAATATGCTGATTTCAAAGCCGATTGCCACCAAAACTTCAAATCGTTCTCTCCCAACGATTATCTATTGCCTCAGCGAACTGACTGTGTGAATAGGGCTACGAAGGGCTGCCTCCCTCTTGCCTCGTGAATGACATAATTAATGGTTAAAAAGACAGCGCACACTTTTATAAAATAAGCTACTTCTATGCAAATGTTGCTGATCAGTACAATAAAATAAGTCCCAAATGGAAGGGAAAGATTGTCATGTGCAGCCCCATGAAATCATCCAAAACAAGCTCAATAACTCAATGTATGCATACACTCTTATTAAATATGCATTCACCTGTATAGGTCGTTAACAAACGTCACCTTAAGGTGAAGAACGTTTGATGTGCCTTTTCTGCGGCAAGGAGACCCCCAGCTCTGCTAAAACCATTGACAACTGCGTACCGTATTCAAGGGATTGTTAAATAAATGTTATACCTATTTGGTTGTAATATCATCATCTCTTGAAGAGCATAGTCAGAACTACAAATTTCAGATTATTCCATGCATTACAGCTGCGCACATTTAGCTCTATCATCAGTTATACAGCAAGTAACGGCATGCTTTTCATGATCAGTAAACATCAATTGATCATGAAATTTCAGATACATGAGGGAGCCTCACGATCTCTCTCAATATTGGCCGCCATTAGATTTGAGTGTTATGAAATAAAAGTGAACTATACCTGACAAGTATGAGTGGTTTAGGTTCATTTCCCCATTCTTTGTAGGCTGTGCCAATCAAGCAGCAGAAGGGCGCATTTGCTGATGTACTGTTAGCTGATGTTTACTTTGCAAGCTACCGGTAGAAACTTTGTACAGTTGGCTAAACATAGTGGTAAATTGACCGAATGTACTTTTTTCCCCCAACCAATGTAGGCTTACCTAGCAAAATTAGCTAACAACATTGTATTTAAGAGTGTTTATTCACGATTGCTGCTGACAGACATGATAGGCTACATTGATTGATGGACCACGTCAAATTGGCTAGGTAGCTATTAACAGATCCCTTCAATATTGCTAGTTAACAAGTTAACTTTCAGGGGATAAACTATATGGCTATATCCAAATATTGTTTGATTTGCACGCCATCTATAGTGGTGATGACAGTAGTCTGACTAACAACTTTACCAGGATGAAGACTTGCTGATGTCAAGATCTTCCCAAAAGCTTAATCTCTGATGAAGCAAGCTAAATTACGTTGTTTGCATAGCTAGCTAGCTAGCTACCTACCTACCTAGAAACCAAATGGATAGGCTACCCTCACGTATCGGAAAATTGATGTTTATTGATCATGAAAAGCATGCACTTGCTTGCAGTATAACTCTGATGATAGAGCTAAATGTGGAATAATCAGAAATGTGGACTATGCTCCTCAAGAGGTGATGATATTAAAACCAAATAGTTAAAACATTTATTAACCAATCCCTTGAAAATGGCACGTAGTTGTCAATGGTTTAAGCGAAGCTGGGGTTCTCCTTGACCCCCCAGCAGCAAAATGGAATGCTGTGCAGCGTATTGTGACGTTTTATCGATAACAACCTACTTTGAATAAGTCTAGGCTACATCTTGATTTACCCAGTTTATCAATAGAGATTTACTATTCAAATAAATTATTTCCATTATGTTGTTAGAATGGTAAAAAAAAAGTCAAATTGTTTGTATGATTGTATAATTGATTCATTAATGCATACATGGCTGTCTGAAAAATTTACGTAAAAACTTCTAATGTAATGATATTGAACTCGAGATGCCCAATGATTGAACAGAGCAGTAGCTGAGTTTATCTGTCTGGATCAAGTGCCATTCTGTGACTTTCGCTAAAATGCCTTCTTTTTTTGTTGTGGTATCGTTTTGGTATTGAGTATCGTGATACTAAACCTGGTATCGAAGACACAATTCTGGTATCGTGACAACACTAACAGACATACATTCTATTATAAATACATATACATTGATGACAGCTCACGCAAAAACTAAACAAGCAGTGGCCTGTTTGATGTGACAGAAGTGAAAGTCCACATGACAATAAATAATAGGTGAATACTTCCGGGCAGGGATGGGCAGGAAACACTGTACAAACAGGATGTAGACACAAGGAAGAGCACTGGGAAGGGCAGCGAGACTATCACAGGGACTGGAGGAAGTTAGAGGAACAATAACATAGAATTACATACACAAAAGTATGTGGACAGCCCTTCAAATTAGTGGATTTGGGCTATTTCAGCCACACCCGTTGCTGACAGGTGTATAAAATTGAGCTCACCGCCATGCAATCTCCATAGACAAACATTAGCAGTAGAATGGCCTCAGCGACTTTCATGGTGCCACCTTTCCGACAAGTTAGTTCGTCAAATTTCTGCCCTGCTAGAGCTGCCCTGGTCAACTGTAAGTGCTGTTATTGTGAAGTGGAAACGTCAAGGAGCATCAACGGCTCAGGCGCGAAGTGGTAGGCCACATAAGCTCACTAAATGGGACCGCTGAAGCGAGTAAAAATCGTCTGTCCTCGGTTGCAACACTCACTACCAAACTACCTCTGGAAGCAACGTCAGCACAAGAACTGTGGGTTTCCATGGTCGACAGCCTAAGATCACCATGCGCAATGTCAAGCGTCGGCTGGAGTGGTGTAAAGCTCGAAGCCATTGGACTCTGGAGCAGTGGAAACGCGTTCTCTGCAGTGACTAATCACGCTTCACCATCTGGCAGTCCGACGGATGAATCTGGGTTTGGCGGATGCCAGGAGAACGCTACCAGCCCGAATGCATAGTGCCAACTATAAAGTTTGGTGGAGGAGGAATAATGGTCTGGGGCTGTTTTTCATGGTTCAGGTAGGCCTCTTCGTTCCAGTGAAGGGAAATCTTAATGCTACAACATATAATGGCATTTTAGACAAGTCTGTGCTTCCAACTTTGTGGCAACAGTTTGGGGAAAGCCCTTTCCTGTTTTAGCATGTGTCATGACTCACTCCTTGGTGAGGATCAAAAGGTGCCAGATCAGCTTGGCAAATGGCTGAAGCAGCCAACAAGTGCTCAGCATATGTGGGAACTCCTTCAAGACTGTTGGAAAAGCATTCCTCATGAAGGTGGTTGAGAGAATGCCAAGAGTGTGCTGTCATCAAGGCAAAGGGTGGCTACTTTGAAGAATCTAAAATATATTTTGATTCGTTTAACACTTTTTTGGTTACCACATGAATCTATATGTGTTATTTCATAGTTTTGATGTCTTCACTATTATTCTACAATGTAGAAAAACTTAAATGAGTAGGTGTCCAAACTTTTGACTGGTACTGTATATAATGACTATATTAGCACAGTAGCTATTATATGGGGTCAACTGTTACTGTACTAGGAGCAATGGCTTTTAGGCGCTTTTAGGCCTTCTGGAGGTGGCTAGTTGGGTTATTTAGAACTTCAAGTTGATCATTTTACTTTTCCAGTGGGCGGCAGGTGAAATTAAGGGCTGATAGTAAATTAGCTAAAGCAGTTTTTCTCCCTCTCACACAGATACTCTACTCACACATACCCACACAGTAACACACAGACACTGGATGCATTCATTATACACAACTGGACAAATACAGACAACACACACACAGTTACATGGGGGCCATGCGTAGGGGTTTACACCACAGTGGGTATACAGGGGGCCAGTAAGGGGGTGTGTGTTCTCACAGTGGTGTCTCTGCGGCTGGCAGAGCGGACATGGGTGCGGTGGGCACCAGAGCGGGCGGAGGTGGTTGGCGAGTTTCCCTCACTGAGGGAGCGTGCGGTGCCGTCCCAGCCCTCAAAGCGTGCCAACGGACTGGGCGACCGGCGCTAGCCACGAAGGGAGGACGGGAGGAGGGATAGAGAGAAAATTGTTTTTGTTTCAAGCAGCAGAAGTTGTAAAGGGTACTGCCTAACATGAGTAACTCAGGTAGAGGGAGGGGGCCAGACAGAGCAACGTCTTTCTTTTAAACTGTTTACTGGGGTTTAGATAAAACAGTACTCAAGTTAAGAAAGGGCAATAGATTGAACCTTGAATGTAAGAATCGATTATTTAATGAGCTATGCTGCAGTGGACTGAAGTTTTCTTTCAAATTACTTGAAATCGAGCCACCTAGGCAAAAGTGCAGCAGTAGGGTGAGATGATGATCGACGCATTTGAAAAATTCAGCAGCCAAAATAATATTGGGCCTGTAATGCTTCTGCGTTGAGATGACATGGAGCACTTCAAAATGGAGAAAGTCAGTCAGTCTTACCTGTGCTGGGTTCATGGAGGGTGGGCGGAGGTGAATGCCGTCCACCGAGGTGGTGATGGAGTCCAGAGAGGGGACATGCCTAACAGAGTTGTAGTTACTGAAAGAGCGAGAGAGAGATCAATTAAATGAAAAAGAGCAGGAAACAAAAAGAGAAATGAAAATGAGAGAAAGACAACAAGGCATACAAAACTGCCACCATTTCTTCATAAACGGAGCCAAGCGACTGTGAGTGAACAAAACTAGAGATAATTTAAATCTGTTTTGGTGCACAATGTACTACCCTAATTACGCACAGAGAGAAAAAAACAAAAAATATATAGTTTTTATTATTTAGTTTTTGGGGTTCCCCCCCAAAAATAAAATAAAAACTATATATTTTGTATTTATTTTTTAAGGAACTCAGTCCAGCTTTCAACTTACTCTTGAAAGTTGTAATAGTAGAATGCACAAGGTTCAATTTCGAAATTGGGTAGTGCATCATCAGTTGTCCTCGTCATGTCAGTCATTGCATACCTTAGAGCAGAGTTTCCCACATTTTTTCACTTCCAGCATTGTGGAACATCACATGCGACGTCTATCTCTATGGGCACAAGCACTCATGACACAAATTGTTCACACCCCTCATTGGTGGAGAGAATTTTGCAGGTTTAAAGCGTATTTCCTGAAAATTCGACACATTTTGTAATGGGATGCAAAGAAAATGTTGCAGTTTTAAAGCTCATTTTCTTGCACTTCTATACATTTTGCCAGTTAGATTGAAAAAATGTCTAAACTACACTTGTTGCATGTGAACTGAAAGAAGACAGACAGAACAAAGCGATCTTCTGTCAGAAGATTGGAATAAAAGGAAATATCATGTGGACAACACTCTTAGGAAAGCAAAGCAACTTAATCATTCATGCTGTGGGTTTCAGATAAATAGATGCAGAATTTACTTTTTAAATTAAGCTTGATTTTAGTGGAATGATTTGAACGTTTTAGGCTATTATTTGGGGAGATAAATATGACGCCACATCTAGTGATGACAGCTCTTTCAAAGTATTTTTGTGGTCAGTAGTTGTGGTCATTGGGTGTGTGGTTCATTAGTTTTGTGGTCAGTAATAGTGGTCAGTAGTTGTATGGTTGTGGTCAGTAGTTGTGTGGTTCAGTAGTTGTGTAGTCAGTAGCTAGGTGTGGTCAGTAGTTTTGTGGTTGTGGTCAGTAGTTTTGTGGTTAGTAGTTGTGGTCAGTGTAGGACAATGCCCAATGACTAATTAGCCATTCCCCCTATGAGGGGCCAAAATGTAGCTCTGTTACAGTGTCCAGAGGACTGACTATTGTTACATTTACATTTTAGTCATTTAGCAGACGCTCTAATCCAGAGCGATTTAGTGAGTGCATAAATTTTTCATATTGTGACAGAATAATGCTATAGTTTCCATGTTTGGTATCTATCTGAATATTGTTCACTGAGGATAACTCTGGAATTCAGACCCCTTGACCTTTTCCACATTTTGTTACGTTACAGCCTTATTCTAAAATTCATTAAATAGTTTTCCCCCCCTCATCAATCTACACACAATACTCCATAATGACAAAGAAAAAACTGGTTTTTAAAATTTTTGCTAATTTATTAAAAAGAAACAAATAAAATATCACATTTACACAAGTATTCAGACCCTTTACTCAGTACTTTGTTGAAGCACCTTTGGCAGCGATTACAGCATCGAGTCTTCTTGGGTATGATGCTACAAGCTTGGCACACCGGTATTTGGGGAGTTTCTCCCATTCTTCTCTGCAGATCCTCTCAAACTCTGTCAGGTTGGATGGGAGCGTCACTGCAGCTATTTTCAGTTCTCTCCAGAGACGTTCAATTGGGTTCAAGTCCGGGCTCTGGCTGGGCCACTCAAGGACATTCAGAGACTTGTCCCGAAGCCACTCCTGCGCTGTCTTGGCTGTGTGCTTAGGGTTGTTGTCCTGTTGGAAAGTGAACCTTTGCCCCAGTCTGAGGTCCTGAGCACTCTGGAGCAGGTTTTCATCAAGTATCTCTCTGTACTTTGCTCCATAAATTTTTTCCTCAACACTGACTAGTCTCCCAGTCCCTGCACTAAAAAACATCCCCACAGCATGATGCTGCCACCACCATGCTTCACCGTAGAGATGGTGCCAGGTTTCCTCCAGACTGAACTCTTTGGCCTGAATGCCAAGTGTCACGTCTTGCTTTCATCAGACCAGAGAATCTTGTCTCTCATGGTCTGAGAGTCTTTAGGTGCCTTTTGGCAAACTCCAAGTGGGCTGTCATGTGCCTTTTACTGAGAAGTGGCTTCCGTCTGGCCACTCTACCATAAAGGCCTAATTGGTGGAGTGCTGCAATGGTGGTTGTCCTTCTGGAAGGTTTTCCCATCTCCACAGAGGAACTCCAGAGCTCTGTCAGAGTGACCATCGGGTTCTTGGTCACCTCCCTGATCAAGGCCCTTCTCCCCCAATTGCTCAGTTTGGCCGGGCGGCCAGCTCTAGGAAGAGTCTTGTTGGTTCCAAAATTCTTCCATTTAAGAATGATGGAGGCCACAGTGTTCTTGGGGACCTTCAATGCTGAAGAAATGTTTTGGTACCCTTCAACAGATCTGTGCCTCAACACAATCCTGTCTCGGAGCTCTAGGGACAATTCCTTTGACCTCATGGCTTGGTTTTTGCTCTGACATGCACTGTCAACTGCGTCCATAATAAGTATATAGGTTATAGGTTGAGAGCTTTTGTGAAAGAGCACAGTTAGAAAGATATGGCATATAGAAGCAAACCGGATGGACATCATGAAAATGATTGGAGAGGTTGAGGGTAGAGGAAGTTCAGTAGTAAAAACAAACAAAATATAATTATTGTAAAATTGACAGTGTCCATAAAATGTATATAGTATGTATAAGCTGGAAGTAGAGGCCTAAGCATTGTTTTTCACTAGTTTACTCCAATTAGGGGAGGGATGGTGGGGTTGTAAAGTAATAAAGGGAAATATATTTTTAAAAGGAGATTATATATACACATACACACTCAGCAAAAAAATAAACATCCTCTCACTGTCAACTGTGTTTATTTTCAGCAAACTTAACACGTAAATATTTTTATGAACATAACAAGATTCAACAACTGAGACAAACTGAACAAGTTCCACAGACATATGACTAACAGAAATTGAATAATGTGTTCCTGAACAAAGGGGGGGTCAAAATCAAAAGTAACAGTCAGTATCTGGTGTGGCCACCAGCTGCATTAAGTACTGCAGTGAATCTCCTCCTCATGGACTGCACCAGATTTGCCAGTTCTTGCTGTGAGATGTTACCCCAATCTTCCACCAAGGCGCCTGCATGTTCCCGGACATTTCTGGGGGAAATGGCCCTAGCCCTCACCCTCCGATCCAACAGGTCCCAGACGTGGTCAATGGGATTGAGATACGGGCTCTTCGCTGGTCATGGCAGAACACTGACATTCCTGTCTTGCAGGAAATCACGCACAGAACGAGCAGTATGGCTGGTGGCATTGTCATGCTGGAGGGTCATGTCAGGATGAGCTTGCAGGAAAGGTACCACATGAGGGAGGAGGATGTCTTCCCTGGAACGCACAGCGTTGAGATTGCCTGCAATGACGACAAGCTCAGTCCGATGATGCTGTGACACACCACCTCAGACCATGACGGACCCTCCACCTCCAAATTGATCCCTCTCCAGAGTACACTCCTCGGTGTAACGCTCATTCCTTCGCGAATCCGACCATCACCCCTTGTGAGACAAAACCGTGACTCGTCAGTGAAGAGCACTTTTTGCCAGTCCTGTCTGGTCCAGCGACGGTGGGTATGTGCCCATAGGCGACGTTGTTGCCGGTGATGTCTGGTGAGGACCTGCCTTACAACAGGTCTACAAGCCCTCAGTCCAGCCTCTCTCAGCCTACAGTCTGAGCACTGATGGAGGGATTGTGCGTTCCTGGTGTAACTCGGGCAGTTGTTGTTGCCATCCTGTACATGTCCCGCAGGTGTGATGTTCGTATGTACCGATCCTGTGCAGGTGTTGTTACACATGGTCTGCCACTGCGACGACGATCAGCTGTCCGTCTTGTCTTCCTGTAGCACTGTCTTAGGTGTCTCACAGTACGGACATTGCAATTTATTGCCCTGGCCACATCTGCAGTCCTCATGCCTCCTTGCAGCATGCCTAAGGCACGTTCACGCAGATGATCAGGGACCCTGGGCATCTTTGTTTTGGTGTTTTTCAGAGTCAGTAGAAAGGCCTCTTTAGTGTCCTAAGTTTTCATAACTGTGACCTTAATTGCCTACTGTCTGTAAGCTGTTAGTGTCTTAACGACCGTTCCACAGGTGCATGTTCATTAATTGTCTATGGTTCATTGAACAAGCATGGGAAACAGTGTTTAAACCCTTTACAATGAAGATCTGTGAAGTTACTTGAAATTTTACAAATCATCTTTGAAAGACAGGGTCCTGTAAAAGGGATTTTACTTTTTTTGCTGATATATATATATATATATATATATATACACACACACACATATACACTGCTCAAAAAAATAAACGGAACACTAAAATAACACATCCTAGATCTAAATGAATGAAATAATCTTATTAAATACTTTTTTCTTTACATAGTTGAATGTGCTGACAACAAAATCACACAAACATTATCAATGGAAATCAAATGTATCAACCCATGGAGGTCTGGATTTGGAGTCACCCTCAAAATTAAAGTGGAAAACCACACTACAGGCTGATCCAACTTTGATGTAATGTCCTTAAAACAAGTCAAAATGAGGCTCAGTAGTGTGTGTGGCCTCCACGTGCCTGTATGACCTCCCTACAACGCCTGGGCATGCTCCTGATGAGGTGGCGGATGGTCTCCTGAGGGATCTCCTCCCAGACCTGGACTAAAGCATCCGCCAACTCCTGGACAGTCTGTGGTGCAACGTGGCGTTGGTGGATGGAGCAAGACATGATGTCCCAGATGTGCTCAATTGGATTCAGGTCTGGGGAACGGGCGGGCCAGTCCATAGCATCAATGCCTTCCTCTTGCAGGAACTGCTGACACACTCCAGCCACATGAGGTCTTGCATTAGGAGGAACCCAGGGCCAACCGCACCAGCATATGGTCTCACAAGGGGTCTGAGGATCTCATCTCGGTACCTAATGGCAGTCAGGCTACCTCTGGCGAGCACATGGAGGGCTGTGCGGC